AAGCTGGCTTGAGAAGTTCGAGATGGCGATTTGAGTTTTCAGAGGCATTTGGCGTTTCTGAAATTTATTCATGGCCATTCTCTAGCACTCCAGCCTCGGAGTCTACCCACAAGGATGAGAAAAATCGCAGACAGACAGTACAAGGCCTGATCGGCCAGCAACTCTTCCGCTGTGCTTCTGGGCAAGCTAGCGTGGATCATAGAGAATGCTCTGCTTTCCAACCGGGTGAACTTATGATTACCAAGCTCCGCCGACGGCGTGGCCACCATACTGGCTCGGCCGATGCTCGCGACTGCGCCTCGCGATGGTACGTAGTTCGAGCCTCTCCCACCAATCCTTAGACCCTGGGCTGAGATCAGCCATCACAACCGCAACCTGAGCAAGCCAATCAGCTGCAACAACTGCAGAGTCTTTACCTGGTTCCTGAAGCTTTGGAACAGTCCACCAAACCCGGTTTTCCGGGGTATACAAATCCCGCTCCCTTCCCCGCCCCTCCCAACCTTTGTGGCCTCGGCGGTATCATGCTCAGGTAAGCCTACAGGGAGTGTCTTAGGAGGGGTACCTACTGGGGGGCGAATCTCTGATCCTCTTGGGGAGAAGGGAAACACTATGGTAGGCTTAACAATCCTAGGGGTACGCGGCTCAGGAGGAGATGTAGCTTGAGCTTCTTCTAGGGGCTTAGCTTGTCCAAGTCGTTGCCTTTCAAACTGAGAGATCAAATCCCCAACATTCCCCGAACCCGATAAACCCTGAAGCCCTGGAGGACTCCCAAATACAGGTGCCAATGGAGGCGCTGCAAACAGCTGCTTAAGTATCTCCTCTGATATTCGTCCTGGCGCAGAGGCTGGCGTGCCACTCTTCCGCACTGGAGATCTAGAAGGAGACCTCTGTTTGCGCTCTGATGACTCGGCCGTCCCTGGTCGAGGTCTGTTTGGGCTAGGAGTTCGCTTAATGAGTTGTTGACGCTGTCCTTCCGCTCATACTTTCTCAAACGGCGATCTAGCCCTTGAGGTAAAACACTACGAGCGGGTTCTCGGGGCACAGACTCGGGGGATGAGGAAGGGTGAGGACCTACTACAGGAACCAACTGCAGGCCTTCAGGCTTAACCACCCAGTGGTACTTCTGTCCTTGAATTTCTACTAACCCCTGCATTGGAGGTCCAGGCTGTTGAAGCAGATTCTCAGCCGGTTGGCGGGAACTACTAGCACCCTTAAAAACAGCTCTTTTACTGCGCATGACCAGAGGAGCTGGCACCTCAGAACTCTGTACATCCAGGCTCCCGGGAGAAGCCCTCAGTGCATCTTGTCCCTGTGCGCCAGCTATTGACGCGGATCCAGTCACAGCCATCAATCCTTGTCCAGGATTGACATTGTTAGCCACAGCTTGTGTTCCTGCAGCTCCCGCATCCCAGCTTTGAGCACCTCTCGACAGACGCTCACGTGTCATCCTTTCCTGCTCCAGGTCTGCAAGGCGACTCATGACCTGCATCTGTCCTGCGAACAGCTGCTGCATCATGATTTCCGTTACTCGGAGGTTGATAGGATTCCAACCCGGTTAGGGCAGGAGTGTTTCCGCTAGCTCCAGATCCTGCATTGACAACCGCTGAAGACGATTAACTACTTGCATAGAGCTGTAGTCAGGTTCCAATACAGTCTCCATATCAGCAGGGTCTTCGTGCAAAGGATGGTCCCCCATCTGTCAGCGTTCCGAAGGCCTCGGGAAGGTCTTCCTCGTGCTCCTGCGTTGGTGCTCTCAAAGTCCCTGACTCTCGCCCTGCTTCCACATCCACACTACTTGATCCAGTAGCGCGTTCCGCTTGCAGGTTTTGATCATAAGGCGGCTCCAGCGCCTCACCGTTGCCAAAACTGGTTTCACGCAACAACTCCAAACGGGAAGAATCGTCTTCCATCCCAGCAAGGGGTTCAGAATCCTGCACTCCAGCCATGGCTAAGTTACGAGCTTGGGCTCATAACCCGCGCGGAGTAGCACGGCCGGAGCACGATTTTATCCACGAAGCCCAAAACAAGGAAAGTTCGTAGTTCTTTTACGTTATCGTATGCTTCGGTATCTGGATTTCCTGAAGTGGTGATTAAGGTAGCTGATGGAAGCTTTCAGGCCTGAACAAGATTTGGGCCTCATGGGGCTGAGCGATCCACGCATCACACCCCTGTAAAAGCCGAGACCTCAAGCCTTCGATCACTTCACAGTCTTTGAGTGCAAGCAAGTAGGGTCTGCAGGCAATTTTGTTGTGAGTTTCCCACCTTCGACATGTATGGCCTGCTTGATGGAGCCTGGTTACAGGCTCTTTGTGAGGTGTTGCTTTGTTCCTACTGAAGTTGTTTGCGAAGATTCTTGGATTCGAGTGGGCAAGGAAAACCCCAAGTTAAGCACTGAATTATTTTATAGCTTCTAACAGTCACGACTATAGATATCACAGTCGTTTCGTAGTACATCTACTATGGGGCCTAAGCAATTGCCACTATTGTGGTTCCAGATTCCTTCTATAATTAGGGTATAGGGTACCTCAAACAAACTTCAAAAGGATATTGGTAGTTATCTAGGCCTTTACATGAACGAATCCTTATAAGCCCCTACATAAACCCAGGTTCCACTTCATCTTCCAATGTGTTTTCTATGTGTGGGACGCTGCATTACTTAATGACTATGCACCCCCACAAATTACTGGTAATCAAGTAAGGCCCCTACATTACACAATCCCTATAAATCTCAATCCTTGTAAATCTCTACGGAAGCCCAGTTTTCATGTCACTTTCCAACGTCTGTTCTTTCTGGGAATTGCGCAGGCCCCTACATTACATAATCCTTCTCAAGCTACTAGAAAGAACACTGACCCTATACCTTCAATCCTAATTGTCATTACAATGGATAGCACTGTTGTTCCTTAGTGCACCTACCCAGGTGTAGGATGGTGATGGGATGTGCGCAAAACAGTATTGCTGATAAAGAGCTTAGATTAAGCTACTATAGCAAGGAAACCTTATTATCTGCTGTGTACCAGATTATGGTACCCTAAACCCTAGACCCTAAAACTCTACATACCCAGAACATGGCAACTTTCTTTAAGTTCCTTAACGGCAACGTGGCTTGACACGAGGCTGCTGGCCGTAGGTGCAAGTCCGCAAGCCCGGAGCCTTCAGAGCCCTAAGCACCAGCTTTATACATATGTACACGGGTAAAAATATAGACATATGTATATATTATATATATACACATACATCTACACAAGCATGTAGACAGCTCTATATGCCTGTATGCATTGAATGAAAAAAGGGCTACACCCTGATTCTTGAAGCCTTCGACCTGTGGCAAAGCATGTTCTGAGGGCTTGGCGAATGGGATTCAGGGTTTAGATTTAGGGCTGAGGGTTTGGAGGAACACGCTTGAATCTTTGGTAAAAATCGCGGTCATGCTTCCGGGTCCCCACAAGCAAGCGTTGTAAAAGCATCAGCGGAGAATGCGGATACCAATTTGCATCAAAGCTGTGATTGCGACGGGACTTTGTTCTTGCATTACGACAGAACTGCTACATCGCATCCTTCTAGCGACAACATTGTTGGTGTTGCGAATGCCGCATGGTCGGCGGAGGCATCACTTCTTTCGTTGATGCGGTATACAGCAATTTTTGTTCATGCCCATGCAGTAATGCCAGATCCCTTTTCGAGAAATTTGTGCCCAAGAGCCCTGGCCGAGGAGATGTCAAAACACAGGCAGCATGTTGGAGGACCTCACCATGAGGGCCGTGTGACCATTCGGGTGATGGTTGTCAAGTCCTGACGTCACGCCGCGTGTGAGCAGAAACATTATCGCCTCTGATCGCTTGCACGCTTTGCGCTTCTTTCATGTCGCCACTTTTGGTTATGGAGTATAATTGCGCTTCTCTCTGATACTTGATGCATGATTCCTGCTGCTGTTTGCGTCACATTTTCTTAGATGTCGCCTGGTTTCTGGATATGGGGAAAGCACACAAACCTCCGAAAGGAGAGGCCAGAATTGTGGCATGTATCCCCTTGTCTGCTTGTAAAGAATGGTCTGAGATAGCCTCTTACAGCACACGCTGTGGTCTAGGAACTGGCGGTGGTTTAGGTCGAACTGTTTTGGAGCCTGGTTTTTGTGACTTAGCGGCTTAGGGTTTAGGCCAAAAGCTTGAATTTTCCAAGCAATTTGGGTCGATTTTCTGGCTGTTAAGGTGGAAAGGGGTTTGGAGTTGGGGTCGTGTGGATTGGGGGCTTAAGGCTGAAGGTTTAGACCACAAGCTGAAATTCATTGACCAACAGTTTAGTGTATAACAAGATGCTGGGGAACCCAGACTTTTGGAGGCTTTGCCTTTTAGGGTTGAGGGTTCAGGGTTACCCCGAATCATGGAGAATCACATGGAAAAGAAAATGGAAAATGAAATGGAAATTGGGAGAAAATGGAAGTTACCTCAAGTAAGCTGGGAATGAGCCAATGGAAAAACAATGGGTTATATAGGGACTGCTGTAAGGATCCATTCCTTCATTCATCGCTAACGCAAGGAAAGTTTCTGCGGCACCTACATGGCTTAGGGAACGTCGCGAGCCTTTTCAATCGAGTAGAGGCTCTAGCGTCAGGGACTGCTCATGGCAGGTGCATGGCTTCTTGTTGCGCCTTCTTGGCTCCACATGCTTTAAAGTGCGTGAGGCCAGTGTTCCCAAAAGGGAGAAGGCCTTGCCAAGGGCAAACCCTAAACCTAGAGTCTGGCTGATCTGGGCTTCACATGTTCCGTAGAGGAAGCATCCTGAAAAAGGGGGAGGTCAGAAGTGAGTGGCAAAGAATTTGTTTAGCCGTTTATAAAAGCAAATCACCCTGATTCACACTGCTGGCAGTCCGAGATCTTCCACATGTAGCCAAGGCCTGTATGTTGCTGGGACTAATTCCTAAGAAGTTCCACAAAGACTAAGTACACCACTCCACTTTGACACTGCGGGTTGTCTTTGGCATAGTTTTGCTGCGGGAAGTCATGGCCATGAAGTTGCTGGCACTGACCTTTGCGGTCTGGGCTGCTGCAGAAGAGGTAGAGCAGATAACATGTGGTGCAGATCACACTTGCGCACGGGGCTCCCAAGGCTCCATCAAGTGCTGGGGCGAGAATGCACGCGGCCAGTTGGGGATTGGCACCACAGATACGATGGGGGATGGTGACAATGAGATGGGTAGCAACCTGCCAGTTGTTGACCTAGGTACAGGGCGTAGTGCAGTTGAAGTAACCGCAGGGTATTGGTATGCTTGCGCCAGATTAGATGATGGCTCCCACAGATGTTGGGGCAATAATGATTACACTCAGCTTGGCCTGGAAAGCTCCACCACCATGGGCGACGAAGCCAATGAAATGGGTGATCACCTGCCATCCGTCGCTCTCGCCAGTGGCCGCACTGCGGTTCAAGTTGCCACCGGAGCAGACTCATTTCATACTTGCGTCAGGTTTGATGATGGAACACTGCAGTGTTGGGGACGCAATAATGTTGGACAGCTAGGGTTGGGCAACACTAATAATATGGGCGACAACCAAAATGAAATGGGCGACCACCTACCGACTGTGAGTCTCGGCGCTGGGCACACAGCAGTGGAAGTGAGCCCAGGAGAGTATCATACCTGCGCTAGGCTGGATACCGGAGGTATCAAATGCTGGGGATCGGGGTCAGACGGACGGCTCGGCAGCGATGGTTCGAAGGGCGACGAAGCGAACGAGATGGGAGATAGCTTGGAGGTTGTGGAGCTTGGTGCCGGGCGCACGGCGGTGCAAGTGGTTGGAGGAGAATCGCACACCTGTGCTCGCCTTGATGATGGAAGTGCAAAATGCTGGGGCCGTAATAATTATGGGCAACTAGGGCAAGGCAGCACGACTAGCATTGGCAATTTGGCCAACCAGATGGGGGACAACCTACCGACAATCTCCCTTGGAACTGGGCGCACAGCCAAAGCATTGGCTGCAGGAGGTAGCAACACCTGCGCAATCCTAGATAATGGGGCACTCAAGTGCTGGGGTTTTAATCTTTACGGTCAGCTGGGTTTGGGCCACAGCAACAACATGGGTGATGACGCAGATGAAATGGGTGACTTCTTGCCACCGGTTGACCTGGGCACAAACCGCACAGCATTGGAGGTTGCGGTGGGCGGCTGGTCCCATGTTTGTGCGAGGCTAGATGATGGCACGGTGAAGTGCTGGGGGCTCCAAGCCTACCTGGGACTAGGTGTGTCCGGTGGCAACCTTGGAGATGAACCGGGAGAGATGGGGGACAGTCTACCTCCAGTGAATATAAGCTTCCCCACGACCACAACAACCACAAGCAGTACCACTGCGACTACCAGCACATCCACTAGCACCAGCTCCTCCACAACAACTACCACCTCCCTGACTGCATCAACGACCACCACCATCACGTTCACGGCAACTACCACATGCACATCCACGTCAAGCAGCACAAGCACGTCTGCAACAACCACCGTCACTGTGACCACAACAAGCAGCAGTGGAACCCTCACCGCCACTACAACAAGCACAAGCACAATCACAAGCACAAGCACAATCACCAGCACAAGCACAAGCACAACCGCAACCACAAGCACAAGCACAAGCACGTCCAGCGCCACTTTCACCCCAACCTTCACCAGGACGACCATATCAAGCACAAGCTCAACAAACTCCATAAGCTCCACGAGCACCAGCAGCACAACGATGACAAGCGCAACAACCTCCTCGCTCACCAGCACCAGCTTGACGAAGACCACAAGTACCCTGTCCTGTTTAGCTTTTGCAGTCGCACTTAGATTCGTCCTCTGCGGCTTCACTGGACTGGAGCTTCATTTTGTTGCACCGAAGTTTTGCACGATCATCCAAGCACAACTTGGGCCTTTGCTTTGCATTTTGCATTGTACATTTGCACTTATAGGCCAAACTCACTTCATTCCTTGCTCCCTTTCACAATGCACCTTCCGCTTGCAGCCATGTTGCTTTTCAAGAACCGTAAGCGGAATAAGCCTGAACAACTTCGAACATTCCCTGAGCATCCTTGTATGATCTTCACGGAAGGTATCCTGAAGCCTCATTCTAATGATCCGGTTCCTACAGTAATTCTTCAGATCCACTCAAACCCAATATTCTGGCCAAGCCCTAGCCTGAAACTTACTGGTGGGTAGTAGGGTAAAAGGCCACTAACAACCAGTAAGTAAAGCTGGGGTTTCTGAACCAGCTGAGGCTCTGTCACCATTCTTGGGGTAATATCCCTCTATACCCCTATGTACCCGTATGTACCCCTATGTGCCCTTATGTACCCCTCTATACCCGTATGTACCCCTATGTGCCCTTATGTACCCCTCTATACCCGTATGTACCCCTATGTACCCCTATATGTAGCCCTTACGAGCTGAGGCTCTGTCACCACCTCCACTGCAGCCACCGCTGAAGGAAGAGAGCAGCAGCGGAAAGAGGACTTGGCCTTGCCGAGAGGTTTAAGGTTCAGGGGTTTAGGGTTGAGGGTTTAGGGTTTTTGGTTTAGGGTTGAGGGTTTAGGGAAGTTTAGGGCTGAGGGTTTTCAAGAGTTTCATAGAGAATCAAATGGACAAGAAGATGCAAGCTCAAGGGAAACTGTGGGTGTTATGGTAGTCGAACGCGTGCTGGATGTAGGAGCCAAATTTGTCGCCAATGTCATTCCTTTTCAACCCCTGTGCGGTTATGGTACACTGTAACCCAAAGCTCTATTCTCATTATTTCGGCCTCTTTGTTCGGTCTCAAGAGTTTGGGTTTAGGGTTTCAATGTTAGCGGCTAGGCTTCAATTATGCCTGTAGGTCAGGAGTTCTACACTCCAATCCGACGTCCACATGAAACCCTAAACCCTAAACCCAAGTTGAAACCGTAAACCCCAAATCCCAAACCCAAATCAAACCCTAAACCTCAAACCCTATACCATGGGCGTACGGAAGCCTAGGTGGCAGCGGTGCTTACGCTGTCACTGCGTTTGGATTTTCGGGTGGATACATCCCTTAGGGTTTGGGGTTCTTGCATGGCCCGACAGGAAGCCAGAGGGCAGTACTGTTGGCAAGGGCTCCTTACATGAGTCGAGCAATCCAAGTATCTCTGTGTGGCCTCTGGCTGTTGTCGTGGCTATGCTAAGTCCTCAGAACTCTACGGTCGAAGCCTTTGTCCATGCTCCAAGAAGAATTTCCAAGAAGTGGTTGCGTATCAGGGATGCATGAAAGCAATTGATTCACAAGTTGTAGCAAGTCTATACAGGCCTTGGGTGATGGCAGGCCGCTGTTCGTTCTGAGCATCGTAGAAGCTTAAAATCCTAAACAGAATACCAATATTCTGGTCCCAGAATCCTTGTATAATGATTCATGATGGTAAAGGGTACCACCCATCATAGACTTCAACGTATTCTCGTTAATTATTTAGGCCCCTGCATTGCTCCATCTTTGCATCAGGGTCTAGTTTAACACAAACCCACGGATTGGTGTCATTGTTGGATGTGGCCTTTTTCCACACTATATACCGAGCTTTCTCAAAAGGAATGTAAAAACCATCCCCCGATAAGCATCCAGACTGCGTGCCAAGTGTGACTGTGAGATTGTGGAATTCTTTAACCCTAAACCCTAAACCCTAGAGGGTTTAGGGTTTGGTTTTATCATACGGAGCTCCTGTGAGGCTTGGGTTGTATATGGGGTGTCCGGCAATTGAGGGTCCACTCTTTTTGAAAAGCACTACAACATGTTGGGGTATAACAGGGGCTTACCTGTTTCTAGAAACTCCTCTAAAGAAGGAACGGTCATAGTCTTGACTGAAGTCATTATTTCCATGGAACAGACATTCAACATCACTAAGTCGTAAGCCTGTAGTAAAACCTTGGAATCTGAACCCTAAACTCTGAAGTTCCCCGCTTTGCTGAAGGAGGCTAAGGCTGCTGTGCAGGAGGCTGAATCGGCCACCAAAGACTCTTGTCAAGCTTGGGAAAGAAGGTTTTCGTGGGGGTCTAAGGAGTAGCTTAATGACGGGGAGAAGGGGTGTTATTGTGTGGCTTACGTTTAGTAAGTCTTCCTGGGGCCTCCATGTGCTTTGTAGTGTGCCTACTTCTCACCAACGCTAGGATTCGTGTTCTTTGTTGTTAGGACGTTGTGCACCGTGGTATCTTTTATCAAGAATTGTGCTTCTTACCCAAGTTCGGCTCCCCTGTTCGAAAGCTGCGCGAAAGGACTGCATCTTCCTCCGTTTGGATTTAGTTCTGAAAAATGTGCTGCAGCTCTGATCAGGGGCGCCGGTTCGCAAGGGGGGTAGACACACTTGGTTGCAAAGCGTGTAGCAGGGAATAAAGGAACATGTGCTATAGTCTAAACTCCAAGTATCCCCTTTAACACTCGCTTATATTATCCCCTATATCACCACATTTCAGGAGATTAGACGATAGCTCACAAGGCGTACGGGGGGTGCAGTCCTTTGGTTTTCCCATGTATTATAGCAAGATTTTGGGCTTCGACTGCTTTTAGGGTTTCAAGGAAGCTACAGGATTCCGTGGGACATACAAATCTGCATTGATAAACAGCTGGCGTTGCCATGGTGTATAGACCCCTCAGATTGTTCCCTTTTGTGGGGGAAAGCAGATCCATCCATCCTAGTGAAGCTTGCTTGGAGTATGCTACGTCATTCGAAAAAGTCTGCATGGCCATCTTGCACTGTCAGCGGGCCTCTTGCAGAAAAGCAATATGAACTCTAAGTGTGCAAGACGAAGTCAAAACGTTCCTGAAGGTGAGGAATATCACGATCGCATAGAGGGGTTTGAAGCAAAATAAAGCTAGCCTATGGTGGTTTCCGAAAGCTGGGTACCATCTTGTGGGTCCCAACAGCAAAGATTAACGTATTTGGGGGTCTACATTGGTGTCGCCCGCGCTGTTTATGGAACTACCATATTATGTTCAGAAGCACTTGCCAAGATTAGCTTGCTCTAGCCTAGCTCAGGTTGTGATGCAGGACTTCCTGAAAAACCTGAACATTGCCAACAACACTGGAGGGAAGCTAGGTGAGAGCAACGAAAGCACGACGAAAGCTGGCGCTGTGAAGGCGCCCCAGAGGGTTTCAAAGGAGGGGAATTGTGATAAAGGAGCCCCGATAGGGGCAAATGAGGGTATTCCGGGGAAGAGAAAAGAGAATGTGCAGCGCTACAATATTTTGGATTTAGGGCTAGAGGTTGGCTACTAAGGATTTTGCAACGGACTTTGGTGGAAGTCTTAAAATCCAGAGCCTGCCATCTTCTGGCCTCAAGGGCCTTGCCAGGGGATCCGGTGCCTCCAGCCAGGTTTTAGCTTGCAGGTGCCTCCTTTCCCAAGCGTTTTAAAGAGATGGACCTGACTGGAGTTTAGGTCCCCAAAATACAAGGTTTGGGTGGTTTCCAGAATGTTTTTTGAGCGGAGGGACCTCCGCTGAGAGGCCCCTGGCCTTCAGGGGTCGTTCAAAGGTCCCGCAGAGGCGGTGCTGCACTTGCTCGATCATTCTGAGATGATTAAACCCTTATACGCCACCTGGTAGCCTGTGATATCTTCACAGCGGTTGGGAGTATTTCCGACGGATTCTTGAACAACATCGTGCAAGGGTCTCTTGGTGCAAGATGGTCGTCACCCACGGGCATCCAGGAGTGGGGCGCCACGTGTGCAGTGAGTATCCGCTCTGTCTGATGAAATGCCCTAAACCCTACACCCTACAACACCCCAAGACCTAAACCTTAAACCCCAGGTTGTGGCATACGACGCAGCAGCTCTGGAAGCCTCTGACGTTGCGACAGTCACCATGGAGACTGGGCCATCCGCAGAGGGAGGGTTTTGGGGCTTTCAGGTGACGGCGTGTAGGGATTAGGGCCGGTGATCAGGTTTAAGGGTTTCATCTCTGGAGGGTTTGGGGCTCGGGGTGAAGGCTTAGCCAGGGATACGGCCAGGTAGGTGCATGTAGGCCTTGATGGTACCCACCTGCTAGCTATCCTGCGAATTGAAGTGGGTTAGGGTGCTAGCCTTTAAACAAGGGGGCCAATTCTCGCATCCTTTGTTTGGAAAGCTTCCTGATGCTCATAAAAGTTTTGGGTTGGGGCTTGGGGCTTTTACTCATCCGATTCTTTGATCTCCGAAGTGTGATGGTTTCAATATCTGAGAAAACGTAACCCGTTCGGTCGGACAGACATGCAGCATGCTTTTTGGTCAAGCTACAAGCGAATGAGTTGAGCATACATCAGCTATAGTCTAAACACCTTAAAGGGGGTTATATAGGGTGTTATATAGGGGAGTATTGAGGGGGGACGCTAGGAGTTTAGACTGTAGCTCACATGTAGTCAAATCCATCACATCGCGGGAAAGTTGCACGGCTTCGTCCTATACAATCCTTATATAATCCTTATAACCCCTATAAAAGCCGTATAAAAGCCTTACATAAGCTCTACATAAGTCCTATGCAATCCCTCCGGAAAACTTGAAACAATGGGCTGCAAGAGCAAATGCCGAGGACAACTCAGCTGCCAGTGCGAAGGCAAATTCTTCTCCTGTCTTGCACTTTTGGGGTTTCCAAAATTAAGGGGTACCTTTAAGGCTTAAACTTTAAGGGGGACTATAGGTGTTATACAGGGATGTATAGGGTTTAGGGTTGCCAAAATGAGGGATACCATTTTGAGGGTCCCCAGAACAAGGACGATAGTATTTTGAGATCTATATTGGGTCCCGCTTTCAGGGAGACTGGAATTTGTGAGAGCCAAGGGTGATGACGGTTTGGGGTGTAGACATGAGGGACTACACTGGACAATCGAATGGAACAAACAGATCATGAGATGAAAGCCAGGATTGTCGTAGGTTTTTTTTTTCCAGAGGTTCTGGTCACACCAACCCCATGAAGGGTCACGTGATAGTCACAGGGCTCTCATTGTAGGAGTTGTGGTTACCAACCTCCTTTTTGTTGAAGTGGATTATGCCCATCACTGGGGTCCCTCGTGCATTACTTACAGCACTTGCAATGGTTTCTGGTCAGCATGGAGTGGGAATGTGGAGGTCGCATGCGCATAACAAAGCCTTCCCTCAAAACATCAAAACATGCAATGCCTTGGCTTGATATGGGAAACCTGTATTATTTGGTGGCAGAAGGTTGCTCGAGTTTGGCATTTGATTAATTGATCGGTGCTCTGGGGCCCTTCTCTTAGAAGTCCCACCCGTGTGAGGTACCGGCTGGCGTGCTTGCACAAGCCCAGAACTTAACCAACGGAAGTGGGCCTCTGCTGTTGAGCGTCATGGTGATGAGCGAGGACTGGGGCTAGGGCTGAGTACCGAGGCTGATAATGCTCATGTTTCATGTGGCGGACATGGGACCTCCAATAGGAATGATAATCCTGTCAGACTGATATGAAATACCCCCAGCCCACTATTCTTCAGAAGAGACCTTATATACTGTTACTGGTGGGGCACACATTTGCTATTGGGGGGGGGGGTTATTTAACATTCAAGGGGCGAGTATGGTTCGGAACTGTGGCCTCATAGGGTTTCTTGCACCTTTTTGTTCGGCATGGAAAAGCAAACGCGACAAATCAACGCTCGCATGAGCTATAGTCTAACCTCCTTAAAGCGGCTTATTTCGTTTTTTTGGGGAACATCTATAGCGACTAGAAATATTCCAGGAGCTCTTTTTGGCTAGAGGTTTTAAGCTCAAAGAGGCATCTCTAGGGTGTAGGGTTTAGGGTCCTGAACCCCAAATCCCAGACTCCCCAAGACAAAATCCTAAACCACCCTCAAAAACCCCAACAGCCACAACGCCCAAAGTGGCTAAATCCCTGGCAGCGCCGTAAGCCATAAACCCGAAACCCGAAACCCTAAACCCTAAACCTTGAACACTAAACCCAAAATCGTTTGGTTTACTACGGCTTCTTATTGCACTTGTCAGTTCTGTGCAGGCTGAACGTGCAGTGTAGTACCTGTGGGATTAGAGTTTAGGGGTTTAGGGTTTTGAGGTTTGGGGTTTAGGGCTTGGGTTTTTGGGTTGCGCGGGGGTTTAGGGTTGGGGGGCTTTACGGTTTAGGGGTTTAGGGCTTAAATGGAGCAGTAAATGGAATTTACCCATCAGTTAGGGTTTTAGGTCGAGGGCGAATGATTCGTTATCACAGCTCATGACCATGTTGCGCCAGTGTGTTATCGCCCTAAACCCTCAACTCTAACCCTAAACCCTATGCGACTTGCGGGTCCCTTATTTGGTTGCTGTACCTGAAGGCCCTACCTGCTCTGCCACCCCCAGTCAGTTTGCTTGATTCCATTGCCACATTTTCCCTAGGTCCACAAGAGCCTTGGACGCTATACTGGGGTGTTCTTGGGGATAGTTTTTCAAACATATTTTCATGGACCAGAATCCCTATCTAAAGCCATTTACCTTTGATTGTTGTAGGGACCCTGAATCTATTCCAGTAGATGCTTGTGCTGCGAGGAACTTGCCCAGAAGTTCAGCGAATCGCCCGTTTCAGAAGACAAGCAGAAAGGTTGGCGCTTGCAGATTGAATTGCAGAGTTGGACCTTCAGAAAAAACCTTAAACGTACAGTCCTCCTTAAGTAGATAGAATATGGGGTATATGTGGGATCTTATTATAATATACCCAAAGCCATATTCTATCTACCTAAGGGGGACTATAAACCCTAAGCACTAGGATTGCAAAGTGTGACTTCAGCCTTGTGGCTTAGCTGTGGCCACGGTGTGGAGCTTGGTAGGGCAGGCTTTCGGGTGGGTTGGCCACTGAGGATGTGAAGTGTGGCAATCTCCCCTCCACACACCCCTAACAGTAAATGAGGGGGCTACTTGTTATGAGGCGTGGTGGGCGCTTATCATGAGTACTTCTGACTTGCTTATCCATTATTCCCTACATACCCCTACCTTGAAAGTAGTTCCTAACAGACGGTCGTTTCACAAAATGACTCCAACCTATGCCCAACAGGGGCCTTGGAAGTAATTCCAGTATACTGCTAGGGTTTTTGTCGGTCACCCAGTTTGAAATTTCCTCCAGATTTCAGCGCTGTTTCCTCGAAAGGCACTACAAAGCCCATTGCACAAAGGGGTTTGTGGAGGAAGTGCGGCAGGAGTTCACTTGTTGAGGGGCACTGCCGTTGCCCCTTAACCCTAAACCCCAGCACTGTTTACGATAAGTTGGTAGCCAAGCTCCAGAAGCAAGACCCCAGGAGCACATTTTCGACGTTGTAGGATCTTTGTTGTGAGGTTATTCCGGGCTATCCTTACCCTCGCTGCCATCAAAACATCCGGAAAAACGCTTACGTAAGCTGAAACGCGGAGCTGCATAACTTTGAAGTTTGCATGATTCGTCACATGTGACTAGCCTGAAGTATTTTCGGGAAGCTCGGGGTGGCGTAGTATGGGGGGGATGGCAGGGGAAGCCATATGATGATGTTTCAGCCCTTTACGGGCCTCAATCAGCATTTCGGCAAGGGCTTTTGACTTGTTCCCTGGACTTACGAGGAATGAAGGAATGCAACGGAAAATGCAAAGTGATACTTAAATGTTCGGGATTTATAGGGTCCATTCCGATGTTGTTTGGGATCTGCGGTTTATTCCTCGTCTTTACTGAGAACCAGCAAGCCATGTGGATGCTTTGTTTTGATTCACTTGTCAGGTCCCACAATTACCTTGCTGTCCCAGCCCCTCGTTGTCGACGTGCGCGACGAACATGGAAATGTCATTCCCATAGGCAGATGTGGGAGTTTAGGGTGTAGAGTTTAGGGTCTAAGGTCTAGGATTTCAGGTTTAGGGTCTAGGGTTGGATAGGGACCCCCATCTTTTTGTGGATTCCCATGAGTCCCGGGGGTCGCTCTTTTTTTGGAGCAGCCCCATGTCACCCTGGTAGCCTGCGGGGAGAGAGGGAAGAGACAGCAGTTTGCATTTGTAGACGGGGTGCCGCTAATTATACTGTTGGTATTAAGATCCCTTACCTTGCATGACCTGAGTCACTAGAGTGGCTTGTTTTCTAAGGCATCAGGTACTTAGGGTCATGCAGGGGTTTGAATATCAGTTGTTGTTCCCGCAAATGTTCTGACAGAAATTCAGATTCCCATCAATGACCTACACAATTTTGTACATTGTCTTCTAGCCGGTGCTGTGAGATCCGTGAGATGTTATGAGTAGTTTTTTGTTGCGGGGATCCTGTAGTCCCTGATTTCGAGCGAGGCCATCTCCTCCCTTTGGTTACAGTGCTTTCTAAGGGTGTAGAGTTTATGGCTCTTACTTGGTTCAACCACCGAGAAACATTACTCATATGACAAATCGCACTGGCTTCGGCCAACCGACAGCCACAAGGATGAACAGGGCTAAGGGTTTAGGGTAGGGAGACGCATTCATGGCCTCGGCTTTTTCTGGACTAGGGGGGCCTTAAGAATGATGCCTACCGCAATGCTGCCCGCGTGGGGTTCAGGGTTGAGCAGCTTGGGAAGCCCTCAAATTTTGCAGTGTAGTAATTTCGCATGCTTCTTCATTGAGCCGAGAGAGCAATACCAGGAAGCCACGTTTTGCTGCATGAGTCAATCAAGTCCACTAAGTAACCTGAACCTCCACATAGGATACCCTAAAACCTTAAACTCCAATTGTGGAAGGCAACCTGGCAACCCCCATGGTGGTTCAGATGGAGGTCGGCGCGTAAGAGTTTTCAGGGTTTAAGGGCGCCCTTGGATGGCCGGCTAAAACCTTAAAAGACCAAACGCAAAAACCACAAGCCCCAAACCTTAGAGGCCTAAACCCCAAGCCCGACAAACCGGTTCGTGAACTGTGATTGCGCCTGCATTTTGCAGTTCTGGGGCTTGATTTGGAGGGTTATCTTTCTTTTTGCGGGAGGGAGAAAGGATGTATAGAGCTTATATGGGGATTAGGTTTTAGGGTTTGGGGTTTCTCAATATTAGAGGTACTTTCTTGGGGTCCCACAAAAAGGATTATAGCATTTGGGTATTAGGGCCCCCCTATTTGAGGCAACTATCCTGTCTGAAGCTGCGCTTAAACCATGCTCTAAACACTGAAGTAAAACTCTCACGATAGCACAGGGCCGTCGGTTTTAGGATTATAGTTTTACCACAGTTTCCCGAATCCAGGATTGACGGTTTACCCTAAGTTCCGCTGTTTTTTGTTGAGTTTAGGGCATCACAAGGTGCCCCCCGAAGATCCTGGACGACGGGCTGTCGCGGAGAGGGCCCCTTGAATTGTCGGGAATTGCATCCAGCAATTCCTTGAAGCAGAGTTTTTCTTAAGGTTTTCGGGCGAGTTTAGAGGATTCCTCAGCAACCTTGAGTAAATAGAAATCTGACACGTCTAAAGGACAATAGGAAGTAAGCCGTTTCGCAATTGGGTCACACATGCTGCGTGAACCTAGCTGCCATGACAAAGGTGCCGGACAAGAATGCAAGCAGCCATTGCGCCTACTGGAACGAGGAGAAAGGGCTTTGGGATACAGAAGGCATCATTCGCGTGAAAGATGCTGCTCGGATGACTCTGGAACACACCTTCCGACGGTCGGTAGAGGCAGCCCAAAGGACAAGCAATCCTGTGTACAAGCAGCGGAGCGGCGGCAGCAAAATCAGCGGACATGGCAGCAGGTGGCAGTAGGTATGGAGGCCAGCAGTAAAAGTAACAGGAAGTGGGAATCATTGGTAGCGGCAGCGGCAGCAGGAGGAGGAGTAGGAGGAGCAGTAGCAGTAGCTGTAGCAGTAGTAGCAATGGCAATGGCATCGGTAGAGATTGTAGCAGCAGAAGTAGTTTTCATTGTAGTTGTCCCTGTTCGGTGTGGTAGTAGCGGCAGGACAAGGACTTGCAGTAGTCAGAGAAGTATTCATGATGGTTATTGTCGTGTAGTAGCAGTAGTACTTGCGGCAGGCGGCAACAGCAGCTGCAGCTGCCAAACAACCCTAAACCCTAAACCCTAAACCCCTAAACCCTAAACCCCTAAACCCTAAACCCTAAACCCTATATGGGAATTCAGACGCCATGGGCACAGCAACGCAGGAACTGTTTTCCACTCAACCGCACCCAAACCAAAGAACATATCCACTACGACACTGGTAGCCGTTTGGCTACATACCTACAAGACCTGATGGAGACTCTTAAATTTGAAAGGGGGCCTAATCCCTTCTTACGGAGTTCTCCTACCTGTCCGGAGCCAGAAAGCGGCCCGCCATAAGAGCATGTTCCCCCATTTGGCACCAGGCAGTGTCAAATCTCATGGGAGCGTATCGGGCAGGTTCGATGAGTGCATCCTGCTGATCTGTAGGGCTCCTACGATAGCCTCGCTTGAGAGCCTTACCTTGGGTAAGGTACTATCGAGATTGAACCTACTCAAAACAGCGGTCAACTACAGGTCGAGAAGGTTCGGTCAGTTCAAAACTTAGCCGCAAGAATCGGCCACAGCATAATGCCCTCGGCAATGGAGTAGTTATACTACAACGCCCAACAAAACAATCACAAACAACCATACATGGGCTAGGGCAAGACTAGGATGCTCACAGGAGTAGCACCCTCTAAACTGATAGATGAATCAATTACTAGCCTCATCGGCTCTCCAAGTTCGACAGCCCACAATGGCCTGCGTATCTCCCAAGGAGAGTTATACGGCAATCTCTGATACGTACCTGACAATCTAGCCATATCTACAAGCCTTTAATCAACCCAAAACTGGAAAGAATTTGGATCGCCCACTGGAATAGCGATCCAAAACGGACCTATGGGCTCGGGAACATCCGGGGTGTACAAGAAACTTGTACCACCGAACGAGCAGGTATTCAAGTAACTCAAGATATCTGAGTGTTTGGCAAGTCCCTTTATGCCAGTGGCTTACAAGGAAATCACACAGTGCAACACTTGGGTCCCAGAGTCTAAACCATAAGGAAATCCACAAAACTAGAGGTTAGGGCTGCTCTAGGTGTATGCTGCACCTGTATCATTGATTAACATCAAGGGTTGCGATGTCTAAATCCCATAATCATGCACAGGCTAACAAAAGGTACCGCCGGCTGATTTACAGCCCTCACTGGGTACCATCACAAATTGGTGAGTCAGGCTCACGACAAGTTCATTGGTTCTGAAGGAACCATACAAGTCCCACAAACTCGGCCTCGACGACAGTGTCTCCGGCAACTACTTTCCAGTGGCGACTGCACCTGCAGAGTGCCGCTATTGACCTCTTTGGCTGGCCAAGTTGCCGTCGCAAGTCACGCACTGTTTGACCACTCCTAAAGAACCGGAGCCTAAGATCATGGGTATTCACACAAACATGATCTTGCAGACCTCCCAGGATTAGTGGCTTAAAGCGCTCTTCTGATAACAGAGGACAGGTGTAGGCAACATCCGGCGGAGAGCTTAAGAGAAGCTCAAGCGCTGCCTTATCGACCGACCATGGCCCAAAGGTGGCGCTTGCTTGACGACTTTCAATTTGGAGTTCAGAAGGTACGACCAATTGGCTCAGCCTCCTGGATGCTCCTAATTCATCCCTCACAGGCACGAAACGCTCCAAGGGGAAGCACAGCTCTCGATCACACCTAAGCAGCATCAACAGGACTTCACCTAACCGGTGATTCCCGTGAACTGCAAGGGGCCTATGCTCGTCTCGCCACAGCACCTTCCGAAGCTCTATATCTTCACTGGGCTGGATCTCGACATGAAGTGCTCCATGCCTTCCAACACTACCAACCTCCGGGTTTCTGAGCCTCTCAGCAACCCCAAGTTCTAAACTCGTAGCACGGGTCTGTTGATCAGTAGAGACTGCAGTCTCAGGAGGCACCTTAGGGACGGCGTGTTCGGGACTAGTGCCTCTGGCCTGAAATTCTTTCGGCGCGATCGATTCAAGGCTCACGCCGGACAGCTCGGAATCCGTGTGGACTGCAGGTTCAGGAGGCACTTCAGGGACGATCGACTCAGAGACGCGTTCCGGAGCCTCAGAACCCTCAAGTATGACGGACTCAGGGTCACACCCTGGGACCTTCAGATCCTCAGAAAGGTCTAGTCCAGATCTACCTACCAAGGGTGAGGAAACCTTAGGGTTGGCAGGTTCAGGACTACCTATTGGAATTGCGGAAACCTTAGGGTTGGCGGGTTCAGGATCATCTACTAAAGATAAAGCAACCTCAAGGTCTGCTGGTTCAGGATTCTGCCTAGACAATTGAGCCAGGGCAGGACCCTTACGCTTAGGAGTCGGCTTTGCATATCGCACTTTGGCTTTAGCCACGCCCTCCTCGGATTCCTTGCTCCTTTCTAGCGCAACTTTAGGCACTGAGCGGCCAGGACAGGACGCAGGATTAAAAGGAGTTGCCGGGCGAACCTCTGGCAGGGCGGCTGCCTTTGGATATCCCCTAAGGGGGTCTTCAAACTTAGCCCTTGCCTGCTCATAGTTGAATCCAGTATCATACTTTGGTCGAACCACCCTGATGGGCACTGCGCCTTCACCAACCCTTTCACCCGAGGCGGAGCCCGCCCCAAAGGTCGACGGCTCCAGCTCACGGGCACCTCTTCGAGGCTTTACAGGCGGAGGCTTTGGGGGAATACGAGGGGTGCGTGACCGAGCAGGAGGTGGCTTTGGCGGAACCTTCAGCCCAGGGCTGGCCTTAACAGGTGGTCCCAATTTTCGGACTGACGACGTCATTTTATAGGCCTATCCCCTGACTCCTTCGGTGGAGCCTTTGGCGGAGTAGTTGGTTGACGAGCTCCCAAAGCCGCTGGTGGTCCTTCACCTGGGTAACCTTTAGTTGCATCAAACTGCATCGTGATATGATCCCTGCGTGGGACCGCGGATTCGCTCACGCGATTGAAAACTATGGGATCTCCCCCCAAGCAACTTCCAGCCCCGGAGTTGCTTGCCTTTCGAATAGGCCAAAACTCACATGAGCTACCAGTCCCAGGATCAGGGCTACACCGCGAGGTCCTACGGGTTAGGGATGTGGCGCGGCGATCGCTTGACACGGGTTTGGGAGTACTGGTCAAAGGCTTAGGGGTAAGGGATCTGCCACGCGCGCAAACGCGCACTGTCTGCATGGGGGAAACAAGGGAATCCCGGCAATTGCTTGGAGTGTGCTGCAGAGGGTCGGCAAGACTAGGCTGCGAGGGAACTGAGGATCCAATGCCTCGGACGGCCACTCGCGACCACACAGCCCTGAGGACACATTTGCTTACAGCTGCATGATCCTGGGGCTCCCCCCATACTTGGCCCTGATTCCCACTCTCAGCTACATTGCCCGGAGTGCAGCTGCCCTCCCCCGTGCAGTTGTCGTTCTGATGGGCAGACTCATCTACGAAGCTCAGCAGGTTTAAAGAGTCATAGCAAGGGGCAACACTCTGCGAGTCGGAGGAAGACTCGCTGCAAGGGTTTGGATCTTTTGGGCGCTGTTGGCCATGCCTTTTACGTAATTTCCAAAAGGCATACTGCCGGAGCCTTGTATAGGTACTCCTGGAAAGCCCTGTGAGCGCTCAGCGCCCTGAACTGGACGCGACCTGTGGGAGCGGAGGAAGTTGCTCACAAACCACCGTTTCCTCCTCTGAGGAATCGGAATCTGACATGTCAGCCCAGGCCCTTCGAAACACTGACTGCTTCCCTGGCTCACCCTTCATTGGAGTTGTGACGTCCTTATTAGAGGAGGCGATAAGCAGTTTTGGTCGCGTTCCAGGGGGGTTCAAAACATACGAGGCCAATGGGAAGCGAGACCCTTTCCCAGGGGTGATCTTGTTCTTTAAGCTCCCGGAAACGCGAGAACGAGAAACTTTGAGGCGGCGCCAGATCCTTTGGTGCTGCTGAAGTTTCTCAGGCTGACCTGGCGGACTTGCAAGTACGCACGGCTGGGTTAGCACGCTGCGTGAGGTCGGCTGGTTGGACAATGGCATGATGCGGGTACGGAGTAATCTCCAAGCTTTCGTCGAAGGATTGTAGAGCCGGGCATCGATACCTTAACACCTTTACGCAGCGATGAGCTCGGCCTTGGCGCACCAAACCTACGCTTGTCCCCGATGGACAGTTGTATCCCACTGACGGCCCTCACCTACTGCATCCTCGTGGGGCTTGCCTTTACTACTCCCTGCTGGACCTGTATTAAGCGGAGCCTGACCACCGGCAGGCAGTGCTGTAGGCGAGGCTTCATTAGAGTCCAGCAACTCTTTGAACATCCTGAGTTCCCAAGGCCCCAAATGCCTATGAGAGAACCTACAGGCTTTATTATCACAGCCACCCTGAGCCCACCTAAAACAGACATTCAACAAATCTGCCCCGCGCAGTTTCTGCTTCTTATCTTCGGCCAAAGGCTGGTGCTTCAATCGGCTTCCAGGTCCAGACCCGTGTGGTCTAATCCCAGGTTCAGGGTTACCGTTTACATGAGCAAACCTACAAGTATCCCCCCTGCGGCAATACCCCTTGTCAAAGTGGGGGCACCTAACCTGTGCGGCCTGAGCTTTCTGCTCAACCTTTTTGTCTAAGTCAGCACTAGTGGATGACGCGGCCTCTAGAGAGTGAATATCTCCACAATTCACTCCTCGACGGCAATTCCCCTTAAGGAAATGCGGGCATATCTTACTTCCCACTTCTTTGTCTCCCTGACCAACCGCAGTTGACACACGAAGGCTGTCGGACAGGTCGCCGTGATGAAATTTACACGCTTGTCCTCTCCAACACCAACCCTTTTTGTAGTGCTTGCAAGTGGACACCCTGTCGAACTGGCGCTCTTGACCAGCGCCTAGGCCTCGAGATGGATTAGACTCCTCAAGGGCATTGACATTTGGATTGGAAGGACTTTCACTATCCCTTTTGCCTGGTGAAGACACCCCTAGACTCCATCCAAGGGTATTCAAGCCTTCACTGCATGTTACAAGCAGGCCTAAGCCCTGCTCTCCGGCCTTTGCATGAATAGTGCCCGTCCTCAAAAGAATAAACCACGCTAGATGACTGCAAGGGAACCGTGGTGCCTCATCCTCTGGCTGACTGTGGTCCTCAGCGGCCTCAGGAGAGCCATAGATCGGCCTGGCAGAGGGGATCTGACTCAGAGGCTCGAAAGCCGCCTGCTTTGATCCAAAGTGCGACTCGGCTGCACCGTGACCCTGACTGCGCACGGGAGGCTGCCTGAAATTAGAGCAACTTGGGACGTTCTGCTTGATTCCTCCAGCCACTCGATACACGGTTGCAATCGAAGAGGTTCCTAAGCTATAGAGGCTCGAGTCTTCTCCCCCCAATAAGGAGACGACGCTTTGGCTAACCCTTTCCGTATCCCAGAAGGAGATTGAAGTTGCCTCTCCTTCCAACCGACGCCACATCTAACTGATGCGATTCCGACCGCACCTTACCTGCCTGTCTGCATGTCCAGCTTCGGTTCTGGACGTTCCTCCCGATCCCTGGCATTTAACTGCGCACGTGCGATCTTACCTATCCCTACTCCATCCTTCGGAGTATAGTGGACACGACTCTTTGGGGCTACGAAATACCCCCTTTTCCCCGAGCTTCCGCCAACCTTAGCATAGTACGCTTGACCTCTATCCGACAAGACCTGAGCATCTGGCCGCGCGCCGAAGACCTGAGGCAAATGAACCTTTTCTACCTGGGCACCTAGCCGTGCGCCGGCAACCTGAGGCGAATGAACCTTTTCTGCTTGGGCACCTAGCTGTGCGCCGGCAACCTGAGGCGAATGAACCTTTTCTGCCTGGGCGCCTAGCTGTGCACCGGCAACCTGAGGCGAATGAACCTTTTCTGCCTGGGCACCTAGCTGTGCACAGGCAACCTGAGGCGAATGAACCTTTTCTGCTTGGGCACCTAGCTGTGCACCGGCGCCCTGAGGCGAATGAACCTTTTCTGCTTGGGCACCTGGTTGCATGCACACGGTCTGGCCTGAATGCACCTTGCCTGGCCTTGCCTGGCCGGCTCGAGTCTGCGTTGCAGGGGAAGGGGAAGGACTACACCTTAGGGACTTAAGCTTTGGGCCCGGTGCTGCACATCCTCCTTGACTTACTTTGGCCCCTTGTAAATTCGGCGTGGGACACTTAGAACCTATATGGCTCACACGGGCACCTGTTGAACTTGACCCGGAACACGTCGAACCTGCCTGGCCCACACTTGTCGCATCGACTCGAGCTACACTGCCTTGACATAGTGGCTCCCCCGAACCTCCAATAGATGGGTAATTGGGCCTTATAAGCCGAAGGCATGAGGGCGCA